TGTACTGATTAAACAGATAGCTTTTGCAATGTTACAGGTGAGCAAAACTATAAATACATTTTAAATTCATACATTTTACTGACAGAAACTGACTTTGCAGACGAGTTTCGGTCAGTTTATTTTCAGTGCTATTTTTATGTGGGTCGAGTTGACCGTATGACTGATAATGTGTGCCAGTCATTAGCAATAAGACAATTGTTCAATCACGTGTCGTTGACAATAATCGAATGTCGCGAACGATTGGCACAGCTATTGTAAAGATAAGTTCACCGGTATGTAAAATTCCGGAACGTATATGCCTCCGCATAACGAATTCGACGAAATTTTTCCATGTAAAAATACATTTCTAATAATATACGGGCAATTACATAAAACCTGAAATTACAAATCTGATTACAAAAAGACAGCATAGCATTCAATCTCTCAGGGCGACAACTACAATAAAATAACGGGTCAGTGACATGCATACTTTGATGTAAGCCTTCGGATATATTTTATGAACCGCATCTCCTGGTGCTCGGCCAGCTTCTCTGTCTAGGTAATAGCTCTGGACGAACACGCTGCAGTCGCTCAAGCAACACAACCAGACGTCTCCTTCGTTTTCCAGATCCAGTCGTACACCACGACCAATATGAATCCTAGAAAAGTAACATATGAATGCGTTTTAACAACGAATCCATACGGCCAGGAGTGCTTTCAAATGTATATTCGTAAACTGGTGCATTTTCTGGAAAATTTACATATTCCGTATATCCATATCGAACGATATTAGGCATGTTGAGTGCAAAGAAATCATGTATAGTAAAATGGAATGCCAGAAGATACTTTTATATTTACAGGGCCAGTCAAAGTTTAGCTGAGCGATATACAAAGATTATTTACGATATCATCATCATCATCTTCCATCGCCGCTTCTAGTTTCGGGTCGCGGAGGCAGACGCGTCAACAGAGCTTCCAACGTTCCTGATCCTGGGCCAGAGTCTGAGCTTCGGCAAAGAAAAAAGGAGTCTGGAACAGACTCCTTCCATATGTTTGCACCAGCTTAATCTTGGCCATCCCCTGGGCCTTTTGCCGGTCAGATTTGCAAGGAACAGTTGCTCAGCCTTCCTTTCTGGAGGCATTCGC